TAGCAAATCTGAGCACAGTTTGAGATCTCTTGAAACTCTAGGACAGGGATCCTCAAATCTGGCCCACGAGATCCACTTTCCTGCAGAGTTTAGGTCTAACCCTAATCAAACACACCTGAGCATGCTAATCAATGTCTTCGGGATAATTAGAAAATCACAGGTAGGTGAGTTTGATCAGGGTTGGAGCTAAACTCTGCAGCGCATTGGCCCTCCAGGGCAAGATTTGAGGAACCCTGCTCTAGGAGATGCATGGGAGATTACTGGAGTGTTTTTCTCAGGAAATCGGAGAATCATGGGCCGGATTCATGTCTTCTTAAAGAAAGAAGTTAAAGTTTTGCCGATCAACTCAATGGGCCTCATTCATGAAACACGAGCAGAACGATTTTTGTGTAAATCATTCGGAAACTCCTTCTGATGTAAATTTTCGGATTCATGAAAATGACTCGATGACTCATGCATTAAGACAGTGACTTACCGCCACCTACTGGCACTTTTAGTATTTAAAAGAATCACTTTTCATTTTATCATCATTTCATATTAATCTATTGAATTTTTTTTTAAACATTAATATTCTATTTATAAAGATAAAAAATGCATTGGAAAGTCAATTTAGGGGGCAAATATGGTCCTTTAATGGAAAAGGTGCAGTCTAAGTGGAAGAGAGGGGGTAGGCCTAAGCAGAAATGCCTCAGGGGGGTACTCCACTCTAAAAAGTCTGGGAACCACTGATGTAGAACATTCTGTCCTGTGCAACAAGTGATTTATTTTATATTTTCAGGTACAGCGGTTAGTTTGAAATAAAAGTTTAACAGTGGAAATTGAGTCTCACATTATTTAAACTTTTCGACTTTATAAAATGATTCTCTCAAGTCTTGGCGATCGGCCACTATTAAACAATAAAGACAGACATCTTTTTCTTATACATAGTTTAGTAGCCTACTATTCTTTTTGGCAGAATTGATCATTAATCAACTTAATTATTTCCTGGATTTTGTATCACCATAGTCCCTAAATGTATGTACATGCAGGAAATGGGATTCAAATCGAAAACATTTTCCCCCATTTTGTGTCCCCCCCACTTCTCAAACCAAAGTTACACCCTTGGCACCAGGCATTATGTCAGCTGGCTAAAAACGCTCAGGTGGACACACGTTAATTTATTCATTTATTGTTAGGCATATAGCCTATTAGTCTCTTATGCATTTATGCTATATAACTTACCAAACCTGAGAACTGAGTCCAAGGATTCCACACCATTCCTAGATGCGTAATTTGCGTAGCTATAATTCATAGGTGGGGAATATGCTAATTGTGAATGAGCGTGCATGCGCGCCCTATTTACAAATGATTGGAATTCATTGACATACACACATTTAACGATTAAATCTGACCTTTACGAAGCATTTGTGAATCCGGAGGAGAGTTTTCGGGAAGGTCCGTTTTACGCGTAAATTACTAGGAATTTACTCCTATATTTACGACTGTTTCATGAATGAGGCCCAATGAGAAACACCTCAAATTACATCTACAGTGCCTTGCGAAAATATTCATACCCCTTCATTTTTTTCACATTTTGTCAAGTTGCTGCATTATGCTAAACTGCTTTAAATTACTTTTTTCCCACATCGATCTACACTCCATAAACCATAATGGTAAAGCAAAAAACAGGTTTTTAACATCTTCGCAAATGTATTAAAAATAAAAAACTTAAATGATTCCATTGCAAAAGTATTCATTTCATTGCTTGTAGATGTTACTACACTTCGAGTGAAGTTAATCTGTGGCAAATTCAATTGAATGGGTATGATTTGGAAAGGCACACACATCTTAATAAAATGTCTAACAGCTGATAATGCATATCAGAGCAAAAACCAAGCCATGACGTCAAAAGAACTGCCTGTAGAGCTCAGAAACAGGTTTGTGTCAAGCCACACATCTGGGGAAGATTTCAGAAA